GGGTTTCCAAACTTGGTCATGGAAGGTCAGTGTCCTGCATGGCTCCAACTCCCTTCAATAAACCAGCCTGGAATTTTCTAGTATACATAGAACAAGCTTGATTAGCTGGTTCGGGTGTGTTTAATTGGGGTTGAAACTAAAATATGCACACCCCTACCTTAAAGTGTGAACTGACAATTCATTCATATATTATTTATATTCTGAAGGAGTATTACATGACACTGTTTTTAACTAAGGACACACATTATACACTCTAAAAAAACTTTATTTATTAGGGTAAAGGTTGAGTTGGTTGAAGTAAAAATATTGAATTGCTTTGTTATGTTAACCTTTAATGGGTAATTTTTATAACAAATGAACCAGTTGGGTTAAAAACATACATTTCTCAGTCAACTGATAGTGAATAGATAATATGTTAAATATATGTTAATATAATAGTTAAAATGTTAATATGTGTGCATAATGTTGTTTCGTGTTATAAAGTTACGAAAAAATATTATCGATGATTTAAAAAAACAAAACAAATATGCTTATATGTCTACAAGTCGAATTACATCTACACTCTTAACTAATGAAAGGAAAGCTTCATAGCCAATCTATTGTGTGTGAGTAATGTTGGTTTGTGGTATAAAGTTTATTTAAGCTCTTACAGAATAAAATTGATGCTTTTTTAAAAACTAAAAACAAATATGTTTACATGTCTCCATGTTGCATGATTTTTATATCTATTTCATCTACACTCTTAACAAATGATACGAACGCTTCATAGCTGATCTACAGTATGCTACACATAAAAAAATAATTACTCTCGGGTTCATCTCTGAAGTTTTTTGTCGAAATTATACTCATGTTTGAGTCATTTAGCCGTTATGCATTTGATTACAGTGTCAAGCCCGAAATTATTCATGGCCCTGGGTATAAATATACACTGTAAAAAAAATATCTGTTAATTAACAGTTTCCGTAGTTTGTGTTTTCCATTAATTTACGGTTGTGAATTGCATTACTGGACCTTGATCTCTGCTCTGTCGACTTTACATTTACATTTACATTTAGTCATTTAGCTGACGCTTTTATTGATGTTGAATATTTAACATTACAGTTTGGACATTTACTGACATTTTAGTAGTCTGCAATAATAAAAATTATATGAAATAATATATAGAGAAATAAGTCTGTAAAATGGGCGAGGCAGTGGCGCAGTAGGTAGTGCTGTCACCTCACAGCAAGAATGTCGCTGGGTTGCTGGTTCGAACCTTGGCTCAGTTGACGTTTCTGTGTGAAGTTTACAGGTTCTCCCTGCCTTCATGTGGGTTTCCTCCAGGTGCTCTGGTTTCACCCACAGTCCAAAGACATGTGGTACAGGTGAATTGGGTACGCTAAATTGTCCGTAGTGTATGAGTGTGTGTGTGTGTGTGTGAATGTGGATGTTTCCCAGTAGTGGGTTGCAGCTGCAAGGGCATTTGCTGTGTAAAACATATGCTGGATAAGTTGGCGGTTCATTCCGCTGTGGTGACCCCAGATTAATAAAGGGATTAAGCCGAAAAGAAAATGAATGAAT